CGTTGCTCTGTCGGCAGCAAATGATACTTCATCGCTTCAATGAGGTAATCTTTACAAGCACTGCTATTCTTGACCAATGCTTCCTCTTCAACTCTCTGTAAGAGAAAGTCAGACATATCCTATGAGGGGATGGCTATTTCATGATAAAACTGCCAGAGAAACACTAACAAAGAAGGAAAAAGCAATAGCCATCATCTCTACAGTTCAGTGTATAGTAAGAGAGCAGAGTCTAAAAATATGAGGAGAAAATAAATGAAATCAAACAATGCACATGTACCTGGCCAACAGGAAAAACCAGATAGAGGTAATGAAAACAAGAACTACACTAAAAATGGTAAACTTCAATGTTGGCTATAGAATACGATGAACTCTTTAGATAATTCATCTGTGTCTTGTCTTTCAATATTAAAACAAAAATAAGAAAAACAAAAAACAAAATTTAGATAATGAGTCCTTCAGGTGTTAAAGGCAATACTAATAAGTAAGTAAGAACTTTTTCAAACACAAGAGGGAAACTATCCAGAAAAGAAATTCAAAATACCTAAAACAAAGTGCCTATACTACAAATACATCTTGTCCTGATTATGCTTGACCTTAAATGTATGACAGTTTTTTTTGTTTTTGTTTTTGGGGGTTTTTTTGGCTCATTTTCTTCATACCAGAGAACCAACGATTACACAAATGACAATAAATAATGAGGTTTCGGGGCCAGCTGGTGGCATTGTGGTTAAGGTGACTGGATCCTACATGGCCAACGGTGCTGTTAAAGCCCCGAACCAACAGCTTGAAAAACATGCCAGGCACGTGTCACATGTATGTGTGTAGGCCCCAAATACCAAGAAAATGGAAGAGAAGGGACTGCAATATGGTCATCCTCTGGGAGGTGGGGGGTGATTTCTCGCTTCCTCTTTTCTCTCTCTGCCTCTCTAGTAAGTGTTATGTGCCTTATAGCAAACTAAAAAAATATAATAATGCATTTTCAAGAAACCATAAAATGCTCAGATCTAATCTCTTCATAAATATTCCTCTAGATGGTTTCGATTATAAAAATAATGCTAAAATGCTCCTAAAAGCAACCTAACAGCAAATTTAAAATTGCTCAGGGAATTCTCAACAATCATGTATTCCTATTTATTTCAAATAACCTATTTTTCCTTAGCTTAGAAAGAAAGAAACCAAATCATGCTGTGAAATTATGAAGTAGAATTAAAGAGTATTTTGGTCAAATTTCTGCAGGGGAATCAGAAGAGGCTACCAAAAGAGAAAAATGCAAAGATACAGAGAAATGAAACAGAGTCAGAAGGCACGTTTATTTACATGGACTTAATGACCACTAACATGACCTCACTAAGCTCAAGTTCCCCAAGGTTACCCAAATCAGAAATAGATACGGTGGAAGCAAATTTCTAAGAAAGGGTAATGATGGAAGATGGAGCAGCTGCCAAAGCCTACAGGTGTCTTTACTACCCTCTGGCCTGCACCCCATGGATTTGTACTCCGCAGCATATATCACTATGTGACAGGGACCTACATGTTGTCAGGCCAGTGAGAAAATGTTACCTGTATTCATATGTTCTGCATATGCATTTACCTGAACTAAATATTCCCGAGGAAGCAAAGGTAACCGTACATGTTCCATCAGCCGAGCCATAAATTCTTGCCTCACATCCTTGTCATGGTTTACCCAAGCTATTACTGCTTCAAATACCTTACAGAAAATACAGGAAAAGGAAAAATGTATAGTAAGTTATGTATCAAGGCATGTGGATATAATATGGCAAAACCACATTTAATATACAACTTTTGCTAAGACATCCAAATTTAACCAATGGCTTAAATTTTCTTAAAATCCTGACTTGCAATGTACTTACCAAGGCCTTCCCTCCATTTCTTTTCTTTTTTAAAAATATGCTATTTAATAAATACCTTAAAAAAGTAAGTACTTTTGTGTATTTGGGAATACTTTTCATTTAGTATTTACTAAGCATTTTACCAAGTACATTATCTAATCTTATAAAATTTGAATGTTAACGATAATAACGTGATGATACATAATTTCACTGTTGATAACCTTTTAAGTGAATTTAGTTCTACTCACCTAGATTTAAACCTCAATTCCCCTTGGAATGAAACACTCGAAACAAAAAGCAAAGTGGTATTATGAAATAAAAACCATGTTTTCTTGCAACAACTCATTTCTGACTTTTTTCTTGAGGTTTACAAATACTGGGCCCTACACTTACAAATCAGGGGTCCGCAGAATAGATTAATAACTCTGTATAACCACAGCATATAGTAAATGCAATATTTAGACATTTTTCACAAACCAAAGAATAAGAACATTGCTACTTATAACATATACCAATGAGAAATCTAATAAGTTAATATGGAGTCAATATTTGACTATATTATATCCTTCCAGATTGATGGATATAGTACCTAATAATCTTTCAAAGGTTATGGAAAATGTTTGCCGATACACAGATTATTGAACAGGTTATTCTGATACAGGAATAAAGCAAGAAATTAAAAATAACCTATATTCCAGTTAATATCCATCTTTAACTCATTCCATCAGTGGTATTATTGAGAACTTCCGTGCACCGGGTGCTAGAGATAAAGAAGTGAACAAAATGGTTGGCATTCTGTCCTCCTATTTATCTCTCAGTTCCACCTTCTTTCCACTCCTGCTTCCATTCCTCTTCTCTCTCTCTGTGAGATCCTACTGCTCACTGGTATGACTTCAATATCCTCATCTGGCCTTTGGTCCATTTTGTACACTACAAGCAGGATGGCTAGTCTCCAAAGATGGCCGCCTAATAAACTGCATCTCCTGGAATCCACACCCTTATCCAGTAACCTTCCACCGTGAATCTAAGCTGCCCTGTGTAATGAACAGAGTGTTGTAAAATGCAAACTGACATCTGAAAGAGTGACATAAGAATCTTGCATCACTCCCTTTACATGCTCATTTGAGACAAGCCAGATGTCACATAAAAAGTCTGATTACTTGAAACCACCATACTATGAGAAACCCAAGCAAGCTACAAAAAAAGAAGGGATGAGAGAGAACATTAGGAAGACTGAGAGAGAGAGAGACAGACAGACCAATGATCCCCAGCCCAGGAACAAAACAAGCAGATGAAGGAGCCGTTTTGGACTCTCCAGACACACAAAATACCAAGTATAGAACTGAAGCCCCAGAACTACGGCCTCAGTGGAACCATTTGGTTTACCATGAGATATCTCCAACCATATGGGTCACTCCAGCTGAAGCTGCAAACAGTGTGGAGTAGAGATAAACTGTCCTTCTTGTGTCCTTTATGATTTCTGACCATAGATTTGTGAGCACAGTAACATGGATATTATTTATGCCTCTATATTTTGGGGTGGCTTGCTAGATAGCTATAAAAAACAGAACACTTCTCATGATTTTTCTGTGACACAGGTCTTATCATGGCATTCTCCTCTTGCTTAAACACTTTTGAGGCTCTATATCACTACAATAAATTAATTTTCTTTAATATAACTGAGAAATTATTTTATTTCATCTTCCCTTATCTCCAATCACTCTGCCAAACATATTCAAAATTCCAATCATACTGGCCAAATTTAATGAATTATTCTTTTATACCTCATTAGGACTTTCTATTCTGTTGGCTCCATATGAAATGCCCTTCCCACTCCTACCTATCCCGATCTCTCTGAAATATTATGATTATATATGATTTTTATTGCATACTCGTTTTAAAATACATGAATCATGCTTTTGAACCAAGCTGAACTGCCATTTTCACCCCTAGAAAATATTAAATGCTTCTATAGCACTCTCTACAACATTGTGTGATTGATTATTCACCATAACACTGGATGCCCCTCTAATTAATGAAAAGAATTCTATTTTATTAATCTTCTATCTAGGACTCTCTGGCAGTGTCTGGTACATAGAGGCCACTCAATACATATGTATTAAATGTGAAAAGTGATGTCATCCTCTTCTATATTCCTAGAGTACTAAGAATATACATTTCATAAACACTTTCACTTATCTTCTCACGTTGTAAATACGAGAGTAAATGTATCTCTGTATCCCCAGGTAGCAATGAATATCCTTGAGAAATAAAATCAGAGTTTATACACCTTTACATGCAAAGTATCCATAGGAGAAATTCAAGTTTCATTTCCTCTAAGAGAGTTTTCATAAATGTTTGTATTCCAATTCACAAGTGCCACAAAACCCACCCCAAAAGAAGCCCACTAAGAGAAACTTCTCTCTCCAATATGAGAGGTGCAAGTGACTAACAAAGGCAGCCCAAACTGTGGAGAGACAGATGGCTGCGACTAGAAGAAAGAGCTGCACGGGAGGGAAGGAGGGTAGGTGGGCAGGAAGGTGCAGTGGTGGAAGTGAGGTGTAAGTTGCAGGTGCAGAAAGTCAACCTATAGAAAGGTCGATAATCAAGGACGTCCAGTCTAAAAGTAGCAAACTCATCCTGGGTAAGTTCTTTCAATTCATAAAATGATAAAATTGCTTTAGTAAGAAATATTTTGTTTAGATCATAATTACAGGCAAGAAATCCAGTTCCCCAAAGCACTTGTTCCAGATAGTTTGTCTAAGTTCTTGCTGTGGAAGCCAACTAAAAATCTGTATTATCTAACAATTCAGAGAACTTCCCAACAGGTGAAGAAACAATTGATCAACAAGTCAGAAAGCTGGCTTTAATTTCGAAATCAAAGATCACTTGCTGCCACTACATAAACAATAAAGAAAAAGAAGTTACAAAAGAAAAGATACTGCGCCACTGCACACTGCGAAAGGAAAAATATACTTACTTTCTCTTCTGAGGAAATGGTGAGTTTGTCACTTGAGATTAAGCTGCACACTTGTTCAATGCCAAGATTGAGAAATTCTTCACTAAGTACGACATCTGCAAAATGTTGCTCTATTTGGGGGTGCAAAAGAAAATCCATTATCATCAACATTCTATTACCACAGTTTCAAACTGCTTAAAAAAAAAAACCAAAAACTTTTTCTTAACTTAATCTAACCAAAGAATGAGAAAACCAACTGTGAATTCCCTAGACAAAAACTGATAAATCCAACCAACTTTGAAGTATTTGGGGAAGTCTCGATTCGTTTGCACTTCAGCCAAGAAGTAGCACAAGTAGCAAAGTTGCCTCAATGGACACTTATTTGATTGAATTATTTGTTTCACATGGTGGGATTTGGGAGTTTAACATCTATTCCTTAAATGGTGACAAGAGTCTCAGTATTCAAAATGCTATGAAACCTTTTACTTACACAAATCAGGTAAAAAGTGCATGGTGGTGTAATATTCATACACTAGAATGTATGACAAAATATTATAAAATGAAGAAAAATTATCTTCTTTAATTGAAAACCAAACTAAACAAAAAACTTAAATGATAGTTCATTTGAATTTAGAATCAACACCTCAAAAAGTTTATGATACAGAGAGCTCTGAATTCTACGTACATGTGTGTTTGGAATCAAATTACATAATTCTATACTTCAACCCATTTCAAGAAACTAGTAAAAATTAATAATTCTAAAAATACTAAGAAAAAAATCTTTCCTTGATTTCACAAATATGGTCATTCTACAAAAGGGAGAAAAACTTTTGATATAATTTAGTGACTTTTAAAATTACAAAGAATGGGGCCAGCAGAATGCATGGTGTTGAATTTACCATATTTTAATAATAATTTTTTAATGCCTTCACTGATGGCAAATAAAAAAGTCATTTTAGAATACCATAAAAAAGGATAGTAGGCATTGCCTTCAGAAACATTTTAAAAATAAAAGCTGTATTTATATAATCCACATAAACAACTCTTCACTTGACAAAAAGGTTCACCATAAGATTACTTTTAAAAAAATAAGCAGCTTGGGACCAGCAGTTAGCATAATGGCTATGTCGCTGGACTCCCATGTAGTCGACCGCAGTTTGAGGCCCAAACCTGATGGCTTAAAACTCAAGCTGGGCACCCAAGATCCTGAGAGGAGAATGGAGGAGAAGGGATTGTGGCATGGCCATCCCCCCTGGGGGGTGATTTCTCGCTTTCTGTCTCTGTCTGGCGAGTGCATGCGCCCTATAGCAAAAACCTCTCCCCTCCAAAAAATAAAGCAGCTTTTGGTAATTATAGTTATTGGATTTATAAAACTCACAATTTTTTGTAACTCAAAGTTTTGGTCACACAACTGAAATAAGTATGAAAATGAAGATAAAAATGAAAAATAATAAAGATGACAAATAGGTCAACGAATAAACAGCCAAGAAATAAAACTACAAAAATATAATCAATTGATCTTTGACAAAGAAGCAATTCAACAAAGAAAGGAAAGTCTCTTTAATGAAAAATGCTAGAACAACAGGGTATCCACATGCAGAAAAGAATCTAGACACAGAACTCATACCCTTCATAAAAATTAACTCAAAGTAGATTATACATATAAGCATAAGACATAAAACTACAAAGCTCCTAGAACAGAACACCGAAGAAAAATCTAACCTTGGATATAACAATGAACTGTTCAATTCAACACCAAAAGCACAATACATGAAAGAAAAATTGGTAAGTCTAACTTCATTAAAATTAAAAATTTCTGCTCTGCCAAGGACCCTCTTAAAAAATAAAAAATAAGCCACAGATTTGGGGAGAAAATCTTTGCAAAACACAAACCTAATAAAGACTAGTACCCAAAATATACAAAAAACTTTTAAAACTCAATTATAAGAAAATAAATAAGCCAATTAAAAATGGGCAAAAGACTGAAATACAGACCTATCCAAAGATATACAGATGGCAAATAAGTACATGAAAAAATGCTAAATATTATATCATGATAGAATCACACATTAAAATAAATATAAAAACTATTCTATAGCTATTAGGATAACTAAAATCAAAACACTGACAACACCAAAAACTGGCAAGATTGTGGAGTAATAGAAACTACCATATCATTCACTGATAGCAGGAAGACAATTTGGGAGTTTTTTCCCCAAAACCAAACATGCTCTTACAATATAATCCAATAGATATACTCCTTGGGATTTATCTATATGAGATGAAAACCTATAACCACACAAAAACCTACACATAGCTATTTATAGCAGCTTCCCTTATAATTGCCATACTTTGACATAACCAAGATGTTTTTCAATAGGTGAATGGATAAACAGTGGTACAATCCTACAATGGAATATTATTCAACAATAAAGATAAATGAGTTATCAAGTCAGGAAAAGACATGGAGGAAACTTAACTGCATACTTAAGTAAAATGGAGCCAACCTGAAAAGGCTACATCCTGTAAGATGACAACTGTGTGACATTCTGAAAAAGGCAAAACTAGGAGATGGTAAAAAGATTAGTGGTTTTCAGGGGTATGTTTATGGAGAAGAAGAGAGAGATGAACAGGAAATGTTTAGGGCAATGAAACTATTCTCTTATGGTGGACACATGTCATTATATATTTGCCAAAATCTATAGATGGGTCCAGCCTTGTGGCATACACTGGGAAAACTCATAGGAACACATGGGAGGCCCAGGATTAATTCTCTATTCTCAATTCTCAATCAGTGAAAAATGAATGCACTAATACAGAACAACATGAATGATAAATTTGTGACTGACTTTGTAATTGATCAAAAGTAAAATTGGGGGAAAAAAGTCAAATTGGTACTTGAGAAAATACAAACTAAAGATTAAATATCTACTTTTAAGAGCTATCCAGTCTTTAGGGCACAATAGTTATAACTTCAACACCTTGTAAGACAGAACTTTATATGGTCCACATTTTTAAAAGCCCTCCCAATCAATCGCAAAGGTCTCTTCTACATCTAAAATTATGATCCTATTTCCTGACCTTATCAGAAATACATGTAAAAAAATCATATCCAAGTACTTTTTTTAATAAGAAAAAAAAGAAAACTTTTTTTTAAAAGAAGAGATTTTTGCTATAGGTACGAGCACACTCTGGAGAGATAGAGAGATAAAAGTGAAAAATTACGGTGGGAGGGAGGATGGCCACGCCACAATCTCGTCTCCTCTCGGGACTTGGGGGACACATGCATACGTGCCCAGCATGAGTTTTAAGCTGCTGGGTTCAAAACTCAAAACCACAGTCAAATACATGGAAGTTCATCAATGTAACCATTACGCCATCTGCTGGCCCCCAAAAGACTTTTTTCAATAGCTGGACTTGTTCTACTATTACATTTATGGTACAGAGCACGTGGATGAGAAAGACATAGAAGGAAAAGCTGAGGAAGAAAGAGAGAAGCGCCCTCAATAGAGTCACATGGCAATTCCCTTTCCAGTCCGTCAGGATCCTGGACATGCATGCGCTCAGTGTAGGGTGATCAGGCAGGGTATTTAAACCAAGGTTGGCCATGTGGCCTAAAGCAATGCGGTCTAGCAAGTCAAGAACTGTGCTACTAGGCTGGGCCGGATTTATTTTTTACGAATGAACATAAGAGAACCAGCAGATGGCATAATGGTTATATCACTGGACCCTCACGTAGTTTACCATGGTTCTAGTCCTGTATCTGCACCTTAAAACTCATGCAGAATATGTGTTCATGCATGCCCAAAATCCCAAGAGAACAGAGGAGAAGGGACTGTGGCATGGCTATCTCCCCAGGAGGTGATTTCTCACTTTCTGTCTCTCTGTCTCTCCAGTGAGCACATGCATCCTACAGCAAAAGTCTCTCTTAAGAAAAAAAAAAAAAAAAAAAACATAAAAAGCCTAGAGTTTAAAAAAAGTTCTAAAAAATTAAAAAATTAACTTACTGTAATGAAAATCTGACAAACAGCATAGACATTTTTTTCCACAGCGACTTGAAATTCATACAGAAAACAGACAGGCACTGAACAAGCTGACATAAACCTATTGTCTCTCAAGCATCAAAATATTTTAATCTCCAAATACATGTCTATAATGATTTTTCACTAAACAGGGTTAAATTTTAAATCTGATCAAAGTAAGAAACTAGTGGTCTCCTTACACCTTTCATGAGTGAAAATCTCTCCAGGTAATGAACGTGACACAGAGAACATACCATTCCTATACTGTGACTACATGTTATATAACCTCTGCTTCACTGATCAGTAAAAATGAACCTGCTAAAAATCAAACACGAGGAGCCAGCAGTTGGCGTAATGGCTATTGTCGCTGGACTCCCATGTAGTCAACCGCGGTTCAAATCCCAGACCTAATGGCTTAAACTCATGCTGGGCGCATGTGCATGCATGACCAAGATCCCGAGAGGAGCATAGAGAAGAAGGGACTGTGGCATGGCCATACCCCTGGGGGGCAATTTCTCACTTTCTGTCTCTCTATCTGTCTCTGTCTGTCTGGTGAGTACACACACCCTATAGCAAAAACCTCTCCAAAAAAAAAGAGAGATTTCTGCTACAGGGCATGTGCGCTCACTGGACAGAGAGACACAAAGCAAGAAACCACCCCCCAGGAAGAATGGCCACAGCACAATCCCACCTCCTCCATTCTCCTCTTGGGATTTTGAGCACACACACATATGCGCCTGGTCTGAGATTTAAGCCTCTGAGTCCAGGACTCAAACTGTGGTCAGCTACGTGAGAGTTCAGCAATGTAACCATTACACCATCTGCTGGTCCCAACAAGTTAGATACTATTACCATACACAGTAATTTTCCATTCTTTAAAGTGTTAAATTTTTTTCCCCTGAGTTCCCACTGTGCACCTGTGCAACTGTGCACCCCTTCCTATACAGTCTGGTACCTACCTGGTATTTACACTTGCTGCCTTTATTATATCTTCCAATCTGTCAGTTTCCACCATAAAGTGCAGACATTCAGTATATATAGAGCAGGGACATACAGTCTGTCTTTCATACTCTGGCTTGCTTTACTTAGCATTAAATCTTTTCTATTCA